CACCCACACCCACACCCACACACTATTGTAGCCTATGCCTAGACCTACTAAAACCATTATTTGTATGTCATCATCAAAGGACTTTTTATAAAAATATGAAGAAAATAAAAAGTGGCTTAAACTTGTCATTGCCACTTTATAATGATGGATAATTCTGTTTTCCGTCATCCTCTATCGTCATTGATAACGATTAGTGGACATTCTACATCTAAGCGACTATAAATATAATATAATATGTTACTACATTCTTACATGATCAATTAATTTTTATTATACATTAAGTTGTTTATTTCTATCTTGTAATATTTTATTTTTTTTTTGATATTAGCTAGTGATAGTACATATTTATTAGTAATATACATTAATTTTTGTAATCTTCGTAGTGAATATTTCCTATAGACGAATTATATTCTCTTATCTATTCAAAATTTGTTGAAATTTTTAAACTTACATTTTCTTAGAACAAGTTGTAATTTCATAAAACTATTAATATAAGATTAGATAAAATATTACAGAATTGAGATGATTAAGTTTTTAAGGTTATACTGTTAAGTATTCATATACCGCCAGGTGATTTATATACATACGTAAGAGTATCTCCTATCACCCAAATATTTATCTATGACGATTGCTTTGTACTAATCATTATTTTCATATAGGATTAAGTATTTATTTTCAATAGAAAACTGCTGTCTATACTTATAATTGTCAATACAATAGAGAATCTTATTAATATAAGCAGTATGATTTTAAAAAATAAGCAAGTTATTTTCTAAATTTATTGAATACATGCATGACAATAGTAATTATTCAACTGATTAATTTTGTTTAAATAACATTTCTTTTTCTTAGTCAATCATAGTTTGATTTTTGATAAATGCGAGCATGTAAATATTTATGTGCTCGAGCGATCCGCGCGTCTTTATTGTTCTAAAAGAAAAGAATAACCTTTTTTTCTTCGCTTGTCATCAGCATTATTTTCAATCATTGACTTGTGCGTAGTCATCTTTTATTAAGAGAAAAGAAGTAAGGAAATCTCTTTCTAAACGTATATAGATGATTTTATATTTCATGATAAAGATAAAGCTTTCTAAATGCTCATTTCCTTTTACAATTAAATATACAAAACAAATCAATCTTATAAGTTAACAGACATTTCTGTTTTCTCTCATTTCTTTTAATATAATCATAGAAAATAATCAAATTTCTTTTGTTTGTCATTACAGCTCATGCATAAGCACTTTTTGTTTTTTTTATATTCATATAATTCTAATTCTGCTGACATTTCTCTTTTTCTACAAAAAAAAATCTATATTTAGATATGACTATCGAATAGGGAACAACGTAGATCAACAGATGTTTGAAAAAATAGATAAAAGAAGAACGCAGGTGCTCTAGTCATCTTTCGTAAAATAGCCTTGACAAAAAGGAAAATTCACATCATCAACTAATAATTAAACATTTTTTTTTATAAAACATCTTATCCATGATTTTATTTGTAATTCTTTACGTAAAATAAGTACCGTGGAATGTGGTAGTTAGCAGTCTATTTTCTCATGGTATATATATATGACCTTTTTTTTCATTCTTACGTTTGTATTACATTTTTTTCTGCCGTGACACTTCCCTACATTTCGTTTTCATGTATAGAACGATACATAAATTATTTGAAGAATTATCGTTGAGAGGATGATGAAAACTATTATGTGACACTTTTATTTTGTATGTCGTTACATAATTTTATACAAGTTCTGATAGTTTTTTAAGTTTGAATATAAGTTTCGTTTCTTCTTCTTTTAGACTTGAATTTGATTATGGCAAAATAAAAAGATGTATACGTGATTAGTGGAACTCAAGAAGTAAAAGGTGAGAAAAACGAAATAGTATTTTAGAATAAAAAATAAATGATATTCATTTTTAATAATAGCACCATTGGTATGTTCAATACGTCTTCTACTTGCTTGTTTGGCACTTCTTGGTTTTTTTCTTTGTTATGCTCAACGAAATGGACTTTCGTAAAGTATTTGAAATTTTTAAAAAAACAAAATTATTTCTATTGATTTATTTTAGTGTTAGCATTGTTTGTATGGTTGATCCTGATGCGGATAATGTAACTTTATCAAAGGATATTAGTTCTGTTACTGTTCCTCGTAATATCCCACCTTCATGTCATAAACATACAGTGGAAAAAAGTCGATCTATATGATATTTTTCTTCTTATTTAGAATATGTTTGAATATATTATAGGCAAGTCAAGTTCTTCTATGGCCAAAACAAACACGTGGTGTTATTCTTGGTTCATTTTATTAGGGTTATGCATTAACACAAGTGGCATCATCTGAGGGTGTGGGTGTGGACATGAGTTGATCTTTGTTTCACCCACACCCATACCCAACAAAAAGAATATTCCTACTCGTTTATCATTTTAATAATCAGATGCAATTTGACTTATTATCCTATGAGTTACATATTCAATTAAATATTTTATCTATTGATTATTCTATAAAATTTCTTGTAATATACATGATGACGCATTACGGTGTTCATTTTTTCCAAAACAGTACTCACGATGAATAGCTATTTTATCAGTATTGCATTATATATAAACATAGCCTTTTTGTAGATAAAATAATATAATTTATTGATGACAAATTTTAATACAATGGTTCTTTCAACAGTAATGTTAATGATTATGTATATGTTACCTTTTTATAAAGCGACTACAGTTAATTTATATCAAGAACAAATAGGTAATTTATAAATTGTTTTTCTTAATCATATATATGTATACATTCTGTTTATATTATAGGAAAGCAAGATACTCTCCATTTAGATTTGTTGTTTAATTGTTCAGGATTTAAAACTGACGATGATATTCTACAATCATTTCCATTTAATGTTGAACTTAATTCAATCATACAAAGTCCTGAAATAACGTATGGATTATTAGATGAAAATAATAATATTTATTTTTTAAATATTTTTAATGAAATATATTTTCCATCTTCTGGTTTTTGTTTCACACATTTAAAACAACTTGATGTGCGAGGAACAAGTTTTCAAAATGGGAATAACACAATACCAGCAGAAATTCAATATCTTGCACCTACACTAACCGATATACGTATTTATGATACTATCATTACTCATTTGCCATATGAAATAAGCAAACTAGAAAAATTACAAACTATCAAATGTTCCAATACTAGCCTGATGATTCTTCCAGATTTTATTGGTAATATTTCATCATTAATTTTTTTGTCTTTACCAAATAACATGTTGACATCATTACCAACAACTATTGTTAATAATCAGTTATTACGACAAATTGAATTAGGTAATAATCCATATCTTAATTCCATACAATCACTCAATGATCATCCATCTGTAAAATATATAGAAGCAAATAATTGTTCAATTGAAAATCTTCCTGTTAATTTATCTCAACTAACTGATTTATATATGCCGAATAATAAACTAAAAAATCTTAGAAATATTCAAACATTAGGTCGTGCAACAAATACTAAAAAATATTTTTATTTTAATCAAAATCGTATTCGATCTATTACACCACAAATTCGGTATGTTAAAAATCTTTATTTTCTCAATCTTGATGGAAATCAATTGAAAAATATGCCATCGAGTATTCTTTATATGAATACACTTCGTTATTTATATATTCAAAGCAATCATTTTGGTAATACTGAATTGGCAACAATAATTTCTAAGTTTAAAACTACAAATCCATCTCTAAAAATATTTTATAAGAATCAAATAACCCCGTGAATAAAGATCTGATCAATAAACTGACGTAATGACATTCCTTGTGTGATATATACAAGGGGGAAAAAGCGAGACTTCATCTACTTCAAAATGTTTTTGAAGTACTGGTGAAGTACAGTGAAGTACGGGTGAAGTAGAATGAAGTAGAGTGAAGTAGAATGAAATAGATTGAAGTACAAGGGAAGTAGAAGTGAAGTACCCGTGAAGTAGAAGTGAAGTATAATGAAGTACCAGTGAAGTATGACTGAAGTAAATTGAAGTACGACTGAAGTACCGTGAAGTATCGTACTTCACTGTACTTCAAGTTACTTCACTGGTACTTCATTGTACTTCACATCTACTTCACGGGCACTTCATTTCTACTTCAGTCGAGATTTCATTTGTACTTCAAGTACTAGTGAGGTACTTGTGAAGTACTAGTGAAGTATAACTGAAGTACCGGTGAAGTATGAGTGAAGTAGAGTGAAGTACCGGTGAAGTACTAGTGAAGTACACACTCTTGAAGTCTCGCTTTTTCCCCCTTGGATATATAGTTTTATAGTAAACATTTTGCTCGTTTTGTGTGAAATTATTTTTTTATACTGTTTGTTTTTATTTTCAATATATCATATTAACAATACATTTATCGAAGAATGCATTCACATTCTTAATTAGTATATTTGGACGTTGTCTTTGATTCTGTCGTCTGAAATTTTAAAAAGATTCTTTTTTAATAGTAATCAGAGCTTTGCTTTTTTTTAAATGTTCATAAGATCAAAGAAAATAAATTAGATTATTCTATGAGACGATTTTATCGTTCGATTTCATCGTATTCATATATTAAAAGTTGAATTATTGTATATATACGATCATCACGTGTAACCTATGACCTACTTTACTGAGAACAGACAAAAACTAAAATAATAATATTTTTATCAATTAAATATATTCAGAAATGCTTAGATTGATATGGCTAAATAATTAAAACGTCAATTTATTGAATTAGAATGCTCATAAAAACCTTTTCGTTTTTTGTTATATATTAACTATATTAAACAAATATGATGAAGTAAAACGAACACGTTTTATACCTTCTTAACTTTGCAACTTATGCACATGTATGTCTCAGTTTGAAAAAAAAAAGAAAAAGAACTAAAATATTTTTTCTTTTCTTTATAATGAAAAAGAAACGACAAGTAGGCGATTGTTTGAAAAGGATATAAATGTTCAATCAAAGAACAATACTACACAAATAACTTAAAAAAAAAATAGATGTTTTCGATTGTGTAATAAAACTATATCTATTAGAATTAAATAAAATCGAACAGTTTTTTACTTGCAAGTTCAGAACATATTATCTACACTGAATATTGATCAAATATAATATGAAATATTCAC